TCAAGATTATCCTAGGGATTATGTAGCCTAATGACAAGAAACAATGATTTTTAAATCATATTTTAGCTCGATCACTTGAGATCATAGGACCCAAAAGCAGATCATTCACTTCCGCTTTCGGTTTTAACTGCCTGAATAACCCTTTATACATTCGCTGGGACCCTATAAAAGGCAAATTTATAATAATCTGCTGTACATGTTCTTGACTACCTACCTCCAGTCAAAGGGCACGTTTTCTGCCATACTTTGAATTTAGAYTTTACTTGTCATTTTAAATTTGACCTAATAGCAAACGAAACAAAATGGTATAGTCAAATATTCATAATTCTTCTCCCAGGTGAAAAWATAAATAACAATTACTATAATCTTCTTTTTCCGTGATAATGTAAGATTTATATAACGACAGACTGTACGTCTTGGATGAAATTATTTGGAGTCGTCGTATTCATATGCTAATTTTATTATTTGACTATAAAAGCGATTGACAAAGCCTTGTACATAAGAAATCATATACATCGTCAAAATCACGAAATCTTATCGTCGATAGATTTTTTAAACGTTATCTAATATGCCATCAAGTATTTCTGAGTCTAYATAATTTTAGAATTTGCTGAGACAGGAAAAAACGCTTCCATAAACCGAAATCTAAATCAGTAAATATTCTTACGAATATAAAATAACGATCCAAGTCTAGACAGGACCTGAGAAGTCTTACCTTGGACGTTCATGATATTCATCTATGGCTCATGGAGAAACGGCTGCCAAAAAAGAAAAAAACATTTTAGGAGAAGAATCCATTCSAGCAATGGCGCAGATTTTTAGAAAATATTTTCTTTTTCCAGCAACCAGGCTTTTTTAGAATTCCAAGAAATATGACATGTGAATAAATTATAGGGTATACCACAGGGAACCCAAACAGAATTAAACAATTTGACTGAATGAAAAACAAGGCTGTTATGCTTTGATAAAATCTTATTTATTTAGAAAATTAAATGTTTTTTTTTGTTAGATCTTCCACCTTCTTAGGAATTTTACTTTTTTAAATTTTGGAAAATAAGGGAGGATTCATTATTTATGTAGGGGTAGGGGGGCTTGATGATCTTGAGGGAGGGCTACAATACAATACAATACAATAGAGGCTTTGCGACCTCACGTGATGGAAGCCATGACATGTCGTTTACATGAGAAAAATTAAGTGCGAGTGTGCGCATGGGCACAGTGGGTCCAAAGTGCTAGAGTATACCACGAAACATCCGCAGTTCATTTCGTCATATTTCATTTCATGTTTAATTAAATCGCAGAGTACTGCATCTTAACCGTAAAGGAAGCAACCATTTAACAAAAGACTTTGATAATTACCTTAAAGTGCTACTTGGACGAAATTCGCTCCAAAATTAAAACCCTTTCAATCGAGCTGGAACTTTGCTGAAATAATCTTGAATACATTAAGAATAGCCTGCGTCACATCCGGAATTTTCTTCGTTTATTTACGAATAAAATTCCGGATGTGACGCAGGCTAATTAAGAACCACTCACTGAAATATCTTTCTGATATTCGAAAGGAAAGAGCCAAGATTTTACGATTGATTTTCGTCCGCCATTAATTTCTTGTTACAAGAATTCGGCTCAAGAAGACTGGCATGAGCAACGTATGTGAGAGGTATGAATACGCAAATATTTCACTCACTCACTTGCTCCCTCACTAAGATGTTATCTAATCGATAATTAAACGTTTATCAATCGTCTTACGTCATCTRCTTACGAACGYTACGCGAAACTTACTTTCGGACTTCATACTTGAACAGATATACAGAATACAAACACGAAGTTCTTATTCCATAGAGCGGATGCAATCAAACCGTGAAATAAAATCAACCTAAACACTAACTAATAGTATCTATTTAGTGACTACACCTTTTGCTGTTCATTAACAGAAAATGTACATTCAYTTGTGCCAATAGTTGTATCAATAACGTGTAATGTACTTTCATCAACACCACAAGTAACATCATATTAGCGCGGATCAACTTTCAATAACGACAATTGAATATGCGTGTACATTCATAGGCATCAATGGACAATCAATACCGCGTTTGTACATTCATATGCGCGGAATGTATTTTCTTGTGCGCGAAATTCAACTTCAATAACACCAAATGATAAACAATAGCATTTATGGACAATCATTTACCCAAAAGTGAAAATTCATTAGTGCTATTAGCATAATCATTGACAATCTATAATGCGTTTGGACAATCATGAGGGTCATTGTTATATTCTATAGCGTGGTTCGACAAACATTTGCATGATTCGAATGAATAATAAGAGAAATAAAACAATCATTAGCGATTTTTTATTTATTTTAGCCTTTAATTTCTTCGCCATTTATACATCGTGGCAAATACGTTTGCATATAACTGAACCACTGACCACATTTAGCGATAGTGGTAGTTGCCACAGTTCTCTGGAACCCTTCCAAGCAACTGCGTTCTGTAGTGACCTAGAGCAATCCCTTGTCGTCTTGCCTCAGCCCAATAGTTCGTATGTTGTTGGATCTCTGGACGGCTGATGTCGGCTTTGATTGCTGCTTTAAGTGAGCTAATTGCTATTCTCCTACGCAGCCGCTATTATGGAGGCAGTTACCTGAGTTTTTTATATGTTTTAAAGTGATTAAAAAAAATCGTTAATGATTGTCTTATTTCTCATATTGTTCATTCGAATCATGCAAATGTTTGTCGAACCACGCTATAGAATATAACAATGACCCTCATGATTGTCCAAACGCATTATAGATTGTCAATGCTTATGCTAATAGCACTAATGAATTTTCACTTTTGGGTAAATGATTGTCCATAAATGCWATTGTTTRTCATTTGGTGTTATTGAAGTTGAATTTCGCGCACAAGAAAATACATTCCGCGCATATGAATGTACAAACGCGCTATTGATTGTCCATTGATTCCTATGAATGTACACGCATATTCAATTGTCGTTATTGAAAGTTGATCCGCGCTAATGATGTTACTTGTGGTGTTGATGAAAGTACATTACACGTTATTGATACAACTATTGGCACAAATGAATGTACACTTTCTGTTAATGAACAGCAAAAGGTGTAATAGTTGCTATTACTCAACCAGAACATTCATCATACAAAGACAAATACACAAGAGACCATTCGTGTCTTTTGTTTAATAAATGTTCTGGTTGAGTAATAGTGACTATTAGTCACTAAATAGATACTATTAGTTAGTATTTAGATTGATTTTATCCGCTCYGAAGACTTGATTCAGCTATTTATTATCGGGAGCTGGAATCGCACTATTCGATGTGGGATGATGTCTAGCACTGAGCATGCTCACACTCGCCGACACAGCTGTCATAGCTTTACCTTCGAATCATTTACATTAAAAGAATCAAGAAAAAAATTCAGGTTGCATCAGATGAAATAAAAAATAGACAGATGAGACATGATGAGCAGGTCAAGATATAATGAGTAATAACGCAACGCTCTTGTCAGGGAAACGTGAAGAGGAGCACAGGGAACCCAATATCTCAAGGATCTAAGTAGGAATCAGAGGGTATCCACGAGTTTGCCATGCGGCAGGTCGATTTGTGTTCTTTTTGACACAATTCAACAGCTCGTGTGACCTGTAGAGCAAATCCTAATGAGTAGAAGCAGTTTCTTTTGATTATGATTTTTATCTTTATTTTTGCTATGGTTTCTCTTTTCCCACCTCCCTTGCTGAGCTCTTCGACATGACGTTGGTTTTGTTGTGACGTGACAAGGACTTATTTTTGAGATGCTTTTATGTGACGCCATGTAACGAAACACATATGCGGAAGCYTGAATAGCTAACGAACAAGGCCATCAGTAGGCCATGTACGCAGTTAAGGTCAAAAATATAGGTTCACTTATCCAGTGTGGGACGTGCAGCTTTCTTTACCATGGCTGAAGACTAAAACTTGGCTGACTTCCGGCAAGTAATTTATAATTTATAAACCATGTGTATGATCGCCATATCCACGTTAAGGGACAAGGTTTCCAACAACTTGCATATCAATTCTTCGGGGGCARCCACATGACTCAACATCCCTTGACATATATACTAGAATACAATAACAATGAAATTACATAGTCTCACTTCCCCCATAAAACTTGGGCTTCAAGGACACAGACTGAACCGCATTGTTTTTTCTCCTGTAGGCCAGGTTACATATTAGCGTGCCTCGCCTTTCATGTTTGAGCTGTATCACCACACTTGTTCGTCMACTCATGCTTTGCGCGCCGCGTTCACAGCGTTTCTAGTTTGATGAACGGGCTTTTTGACGATTTTCCTAAGGGTGGGGAGGGTCCGATATTTAAAAGTGAAGTTATTTTGCTTGACAGCGATAATAGAAAGTAAACATTTTGAAGATGCAGGAATCACATATTGAATTGTAAAACTAATATTAGAGTCCTCCGCAGGCAACTCCTTGGACTTCGTTTGGCGTGTCGTGCTCTCAGGGCGTGCTTCCTTTGGCATTGAACCGTTTTGTTTGTTTGTTTGTTTGTTTGTTTGTTTGTTTGTTTTTGTTTCTTTGTTTTTGTTTCTTTCTTCCCAGACCCCCATATAGCGAGATTAAGAGAGATACCTACGCAGGAGGCTATACATTAACATCCCTTTCAATTCCATGTTTAAACGTGTGTTGCTTTGTTGTTGTCATTGATGATTAAATTAACTAAATTGCGGTCGAAACTGGGCGAATAAAACATTTTAAAGACAAATTCGGCTTTCTGTTTATGAAGCCTTTTTCCGAGCCGAACTTATATCTTTAAATGGTAGTTTAAAAGTAACAACAAGTGATGGCATGCTTAATACGTGCGTGTGACAYTGAACTTGATAATCCAAAAAAAATGTCATGTTTCTGAAAGCTTGTATTGGCTTTCTATTGGTCATCTCTTGTACTATCTCTTTAGTCAATCGATTACTAGTGCTTTTATTGTCTTTGGTTTAATGACGCAGTCATCCTTGAAAACAAAACACACCTCATTTTCATGAACTGGCTCCTCTCGACCTACTGTGTGTGTTGACTCGGTGGTAGCTGCTTATTCTTACAAGGAAATTGCCTAGAACTGCTTTAAGCTGTTGTTTTTAAGGTACCGTGCATGTCGGAAGGCATCTGTAAGTAGCCTTGTGAATTAAAACCTCTGTTAATTGATAAATTGACTCAACGCAGCACTTCAAGGTCAAAACATATCATTAGCTCGAAATTTACGGGCCAAAGGATTTAACGCAAGCTGTAGTTGAATTTATACCTGCATAATCGTTGACCCACGAACTATCAGAGACATCGAATTAAGAATAATAATATCGCTCTACAAAACATTTTACTAACATGACTTGTAAGTTAACCTCTGTTGGGGTTTTATGGGCGCTTCTATCGGTCCTGAGCGCTTTAATGTGCTGTGCAGCGTATTATCTTCCCTACTGGATCAAAGGGATCATGTTCAACACTACAGTTTATTTTGGCGTCTTTAGACGATGTAATTACTTGGTAAAGGGTAAAGATGGGATGACTTATGTGCAGCATGGATGTGGAAGGTATGCTACGTTTAATGATATTCCTTCAACGGCTTGGAGGGCTTGTACCGTGTTAATTGGACTAGCCTGTGGTCTCTTGCTTCTCGTTTGCCTCACTGCTATCATCTCGTGTTGTGCAAAGGACATCATTACAAGAACCTCGGCMAAAGTTGCTGGATTTATTCAGTTTSTTGCAGGTAAATATATTTTACAGGTCTAGAATCCCTTTTGTTTTCTTGTGATTTTGCCAGCATCTCTATTCAGTAGAAGTGAGCGCGGGGTCCCAATCATGAATACACTACTTTACCTTGGGATTACTGAAGCTTAAAACTATCATTAACCATATATATCACGTTAATAACWAAATTTACAAGTTGAATTTGTCAATGTTTATTACAACATAAATCTATTATAAATTTGGAGGTAAAGTTAGAAAACAGAGCCGGATAACTATAGGTGACGTGTCAGTAAATTAGCTGAGAAAAGTCACAGATTTTAAACTCATCACTTGATCTTTCATCGACCATTAGACCTTACATTGTACAAAGGTGATTAAATTAGTTAATCGTGTTCAATGTCTTAAGGTATGTCATTAGCATTTTGATTTGAGAGAAATCATGAAACGACTGTATTTCTAGTTCGTGTGATAAAGATATAGTATTTGTTGAAAACAGACTCTGCCCCAATATATACWCTTCGTACGTCGTATTCTTTTAAAAACGATGAACAAACTTCATAACTAACAACGTGAACCAGCGTAAGATGTTGGAGGTATTTTAGGTTAATCGATTGATAAACAAATAACGCCAGCAACCTTATGTAGTCAAAAGAGCAGCCTTCGTTGTTATTGTAATGAGTTCACAACTGACTCAAGTGGATCTCACACTGAGATCATTTAGACGAGTCAAACTGTTAACACGGGGCTTGGTTACTGGAGAACCCAACATATTTTAAACACTTGAAATCAGTTGACATAACACAGACTATAGGCGAGTACTTGCACAACACTCTTGAACTGGGTGGCGTCATACCCGCCATGTTGGATAAAATTTACGAAAGATTCTATTGAGACCCTCCAACATGTTGGTTGTCATTTAGCAGTTGATTCAAATACGAGGACAAAACAAAGGCAACTGCGCCAAATTACCTCAGCTCCATATTCTTTAATGATACGCCTATTTCAAAGTACGTTGTGGGTCTGAGATCTGAATTGAGCGATCTCAGACTATACGGAATTTTTGTGTTTTTATGTTTTCTTGCTAAAATCACTTTTTTAACTCAAAGGTATAATGTTTCATGTTCCAATCTAAAAGAAAACTACGTTGTTCGACTGTGAATATATTACATTTTGCAGCGTGCCACTCGGTCTCAGATTTAGATTTCACATCTAGTCCGTCAACGTTTTTAATAGTTGTATACCTGAAGGCCATATAATAGAGGTTGTGGGAGCCAAAGGCGAATAGTTGAATAGGTAATAGGTAATCAGTAATGTGAGACTGGCCATTCCAAGATCCAAGAATAGGCGGCGCGTAATGGCTGGTTTTTCTTCTTCTTAATCTTATTTCTCTTCAAACACGGTGGTTATTGTTGAGATTTCAGTCAGTGTTGCTTGAAGTCCCGGATTTGGTCTTGAAATGACCTATTTAGTTTTTTGGTTCCGACAACCTTATTTTGAAATAGGTGTACAGTTATTTCAAACGAGGAGATTGGTGCATGTTACATGTTGAATGTTGATGTTACATGTTGCATGTTGCCTGTTGCATGTTGCGTGTTGCGTGTTGCATGTTGCCTGTTGTACTTCGCCTGTTGTGTGTTGCCTGTTGTGTGTTGCCTGTTGTGTGTTGCCTGTTGCATGCTGCATGTTACATGTCGCATGTTGCATGTCGAATGCTGCATGTTGTATGTTGCATGTTGTATCTTGCATGTTGCATACCAAGGCTGAATTGCATTATAGGTGATTTGAATACCACCAGCGAAAGGTCACAACAGTATGAAATTGTCATAAGATTTGTCTGCAMGTTTTTCTGGTCTATTTTCTTCTGTGATGAAATTAATTTCTTATGAATATAGTACATTTCAAGTACTGTATAAGTAGCGACATGTAAGCGACATGCATCAAAATTTGATTGTATATAAAACGCTGGATTGGTCAATTCCGCACCATGATCATGCCCTGTGAATCAGATTTTGTCCATTGAGACGGATTCTCTATCGATTTCTTTAAACGAATGATTTTTTCCTCTTCCCCAGCCTTTTTGCTGTCCATCTCCTTGGCTGCCTACCCCTCAGGATGGGGTCATGCTGAAGTCAAACAAGCCTGCGGTAACAATGCCGATTCCTACAAGATGGGTGATTGTACCTTCAGCTGGGCATTCTATGTCATGGTCTTTGGTRCGTTCCTGACTTTTGTCTGTGTTGGATTATCTGTTAAAGCTGGTGATCCTCCATCAACTTCTCAGACGCCACGGCCGGGGAATCACATCACAGTGAATTACTCGGTGTAGTAGTCACTGCACCGTCTCACTAGATTGACTTGCTTGACATTCCTGTTTGTCACAGGATCAATATATATAGACTCAAACAATACAAAGGTCATTCCTTATCATCATGTACTAACAAATGAATGTAATATTTAAAAGGTTATTACTCRAACATTTTCTGATTAGCCCGAAATCAGTAGCTAGCGGCGTGGCTGGAGGTGGCATGAAAAGAAGCTCAATGGATACCCTTCAAAGATCTTTCACTCGTAGCGACCGGCATTATCTTCCCGACTGATGTCACAGGGGCGTAGCCAGGATCTTCCGAATGGTGGAGGYGCAAATTCAAAAATCCGCCATTTTGTTGTCACGAGGGGGGTCCCCTGGCCCGCCCTGCCTACGCCCCTGAGCTAACCTTTGATGTTTGTTACTGTCGAAACTGTTGATGTTAACGGCGTTTCGCTTGAATCGGGGAAATCCGATATGTCCTCCCGTGGAACTAGCTTCTTTTTCAACCATAACCATTTAACCTTTTTTGAAGTCAGCTAAGCCTTTACTTGGTGGCGTATGAACTTTCAAGTTTGGAGATTTACAGCAATCGAAGGCCTTTGTCAAATAGCTTTACAAACAGCTTTAGTAAAATGTGCACTATGGTGATGAACAGCTAAACTTTACTAATGACGAAGAATAMTATCAGTTAAGTACAAAACGAGGCTTTAGCGAAAGAGAACGAGATTAAAAGGTAGTCCAAACCCTTACTTGTATCTGTACTTCCATCTCAAGCTTGAACACGAAAACCGAGGGGATAAAGATAGGAATGTTCTTTCTGTTTTTTGTTTTTTTCTGGGGGAGGGATAATGGGG